GTTACACTGCTACAGTAACCAGAGAAGACTAAAGCAAAAATGGCTTTCGCGCAGCCAGAAATAGCAAAAAATCAGTGAAAAGGAAGACTGGAACCTATCTTGTCCCTCACAGCCAACACACTTGTGGCTTATCAGAGAGCAGAATAAGCTGCTCCCTGAGAAAGAGCAAAGTCACGTGCTCCCATCCAAGAGCACCAGGCCTGCTCCTCCACCCCGGACACACCACCTGGAAAATTCTTTCCATGTACAGAAATTAGGTGGTTTCCATTCATCATGAGGCCTCCAGATAGAGGACCTCATGGGCAATTCCTGCTTGCTGCACATTGATATTCCTTGTAGTACAGCATCAGCTATGAATAACAAGAAAAATGTATGACCCTTCTCATAGTCTTGCTTTCAGTTTCAAATCAGTTGTACCTTTCTCTAATTTATTAACAAAAAGTGATGTTATCAATGCATGAGACTCACTATACCTAGTAGCTTTTTGTAATTAAATGAATTTGTAATTAAATGAACCTTCATACTTGAATGTTTTAGGCTAATGAGTGTAAGCACCTGAAAAACTGGATATTTCCAGGCTTACTTTTTATGGATATTGCAAGGAAAAAACAGATTTTCAGGAAATAAACATTTATCCTAAGTTTTTTGTCTTTTAAATCACATTAATTCATGTACACCCAAAAAATAGAAGATAAATATGTCCATGTTTTTAACATTCATAGTAGAAAAGAGAGAGGGGAGAAAGTAAGAATTACTTTTTTTTTTTTCATCTTTCATTTCAATAATTAATAAGGTAACTTTCTAACATACAAAGGAGGAAATACGGAGTGCGAGTTTAAAGAACAAAGCAAAACAAAACAAAACAAACCCCAAAGCAACAACAAAAAAGGCAAATATTCACATTATTTCTTCTGAAAACGTTCTGCGCAAAAAAAATATTTTCTTTTAATATATTACCTAGCTTAATTATTTCCAGTGACATTAGAAGTCTTTAAAATACAGTAAATGTTGGTTTAGAGGGAAAAGACTGTGTTTTGCTTATCAAGATTAGGATAACACTCGCATAAAACTGTTTTACAAAAGAAGGTCACAAAGTTTTTAAATTTGGAAGGAATTAAAACAAAGATTAAGTAATATTCTTAATTCGATCAGGCAAGAAGGACTAGTCCCTGCCAGGTAGATATAAAGTAAAATCAGATATCCAGCATGCAGTTCAATATGTGTTTTGTATAACCGATTAAGATTAACTTAGACCTCTTCATTGGATGAAAATCTGGATATTGTCCATAAAATTGCGCTGCATTTTAACAGCAATGGAAAGCTTTCAGTTTCAGAATACCAGCTTTTTAGCAGAAAGAAGATAACCCCAAGTCATCTTTTTTACAGACTTGTTTCTTTCTTTTTAAAAGCTTCATATTATTTGTCTCTCTACAATTCTTACTTCTCCACGCTGACATTTCTTTTTTTTCAGTGCTCTTCTGGGATGTTAAGCTAGAGAGGGGAAAGCTACTGCATTTAAAATTAAAATGTTCATTTGGTTATAACTGGTGGTCTGTTTTTAAAAGCCAGTTGGATTCTAAAATAAGTCCGTCAAACAAGTGAATACAAATATCTGTAGCACTCTACAGAGTCCTTGTAAGATTAGTATGAAGAAGTGGTTTGTTTCATTGAATCAGTTGCCACTGGGGAACACACAATAGTGGTCAGCAGATATGGATGATTTCTTAGTGACTAATAAGAAGCTGCCTTTCCTTGCACACCTTTTGCCCGAGTTGTGTCTTAAACCATGGCCACAGAAAACCCTTATTACCTCATGCAGCTTTTACTGCTTTTGTTTCTCAGGGAGCTATTCTGATATATCTGGGTGAGAGAAGTTGTTCATTTAGATAGATGCCTCTCCAGTTGAGGCTTTGCAATATCAAAGACTGGAAACAATGAAAGTGCTATATGGGGTCTTCTGCCTCTGTAAATGAGGCTTGTCTTGTATTGCTAACATTATTCACCCCCCTGTGCTTTTCACAGCCTAAGTAGGCACCACTAGAAATGGCACCTAAAAAACATGCCAATATGTCCATCTGTGAGATGCATGTTGTGCATCTCAGTCCATTAGTATCTTCTCTACAACCAGCTAGTCCTCAGGCAAGGCGCTTATGGATGGACTTGTTTCAAAGAATGTGAGAATTACAAAAATCTCCTTAAAATTCAAATATGCAAATTCTTTCCTGCTAAAAAAAATCTATATTAGAGTTGTCAAAATTTTACTAGGAACGTGAAGCATTATTATTCTGCTTTGAAAGCTCACATTCTCCACAGTTTTTACCATGAAAGCAGCTGGTCCTAAATATAAAAAGGCAATAGACGTTTACATAAACACTTCTGTCAGTTCCTATGTTTTTTTTATTTCTGTAACATCTTCACCATCATTGGCGTAGTTTTGTTTTTATTTTTTGGAACAAAAACAACATCTACCTATATTTTTTTATTTCATTACCATTGAAAATAAATAAAATGTAATGACTTTAAATAATTATCTGGGAAACTACATATACTGACTGACTATGTACTTACGTATGCTATATGTATGGCTCCTAGCAATAGAAACAACAAGACTTTAAGAAAAATAAAGACAGCCTCTGTCTTTTTATCCTTAATTTAATGCTTTAACTTTATTTAATTTTTTTAAAACATTGAGATTAGTAACTGAAAATTTATTTCACAAAAATTTAAATTGTGCCATAAACTGGTAGTAGATCTGTACTCAATCCAGCCTCAGATTGTACCCTTCTCTGCTTGTAAATACCTCAGCAACTCTGGATAGGATAACACATCTGCCAAAAATCTCCTCTTCCTGACATCTCAAGAAAGATATTAGTTGTATTACAAATTACCATTACACTGTCATGTTACAGTTACCCCAGCAATGAATTATAGAATGTGAAAACAAATTAACTCCAAACTATTGCAAAGATGTATTATTTGAAGGAAAATTTAATGCAATAGGAGAAATCTAAGAGCGAATTTCAAAATTCAAAGCCTAATTTTTACTTTCAAAATATTAAACAGCCCTTTAAAACCAGTCTTTCAATGTGCCCATTAATGGGAAATCAGTTTTAAAAGAGCATGTGGTGCTTTTGGCCACCTACTATTACTATGGACACACATTTTTTTACTGATGTATTTCTGAAAACATCTCAGAGGAAGATGTTACCATATAAATGGTCCAAATAAAGAATATATTAATTCTTAATGTTTTCAGAAACAAAATCTGTACCTAAAGGCTGCAGCTGGCTCTTAGCTACATGGTAAACTGAACTTCTGAACTGATCAGATCAAAACTTACAGGCGATTGCAATCCAGACTAACAGTCTGCAGTTTGAGCAAAGTATCACTACAAATACAGAGCTTGTGTACTTTCTTAATGTTTGGGAGACTCCTCTACTCCTCACTTGAAGTAAAAAGTGGTTTTCTAGATGTTTGACATGTAACTGTCAAATTCTCTATCCAATTAATCTATTTAGTTTGAATAGGTATTTAGTCACATAAAACGTCAACCCAGATACCATGAGTGAAAGATGGGGCAAGTTTTTTACATAGTAGCACCTCTCATTTCTTGCAATTAGCAGAGGATTCTTTGTGGGTGAAGTATAACCAAATAAACCTAATAACTGGTACCAAATTAAACCAAGCTGCAGCACTAAGCTACAGAGTATGAAAAACAAATTCTTACATGTCTTTCGGAAGAATTCATCTGCTACTCCTAAAGTGAAAGGAATCTACAACTTACCTAGAAATCGGGCTGAATTTGGGGTGGATCACTCCTTCCTAAGGAAAAACTTGCAGAAAGGCATCAGATGTAGGTGGAAGAAAATCCTTTCCACTAGTTGATTCAGCAAGGGGGGTGAGCAGATGGGTATCCCGGGGTGGAAGCATAGCCCAGCTGCCCCAGTGGAAGGGGGAGCTGGAGCAGGGCAGCTGGAGCTGTCTGGTACTTCTCCGCAGTGCCTGCCAGCCAGCCATTGGGAGCTGCTCTGTTTGGGCTCTGGGCATTCTACAGAGCACCCTGCACCTCAGAGAGCTGCAGCTTCAAGAAATCTTAGATCAGAAGATGACTAAGGTCTCCTTCTGCAGATAAATCAACACCTGTCCAAATTCTTCTCCTCCAAAAAAACATTCTGCTTTCTAAAAACATGGGGGGGATTTTTCTCTTCCAATATTTGAAACATACTCTTGCATTCACTCACCCATTATACATGCCACTTCTGATCATTCTGATAAATTTAAGCCCACATGAAAAATATTATTGGTATCTACAACCATACAAACAACAAATAAACACTTCAGTCCATCCTGGTGATCAGCCTTAGTGTTGTTATATATGACATAGCATGAACCTTTTCCTTTTTTTCCAGTAAGAACCTAGACATGTTTTACCATGTCCTAAATGTCACTGTTCCTACACTAATCATACACAATGATGAGTAGAGATAAACATGTGTAGTCATAAACACAATAGGGTTTGAAGGGAAAAAACCCTCTATTAATCCTTCTCCTCCTATAGCACAGGTGGGTGGGTTGGAGCAAACTTCAGAAGTGGCAGATGATACACAAAGTACATCTATTTGCATATGACACAGCTTCTCTTTTTATTTCAGCAATGGTCCAGTGAATCTTGCTGATACATTCAGAATAAAGTTAGTGAAGTCTCTAATCAGATTTTGGTAGCAAAAGCTTTCTATATAAAGTTAGAAGCAGATTATGTTATGAATATTATCAGTCTCACTGGAAAACAGTATCTTGTCTGGGTTGGTTAAACTGTATGCTATTATTAACAACATCTGGAAAACAGACTATACTTATCTATAGTGTAAACATACTGCCTGTCAATGCATATGGTTATTACGCTTTTTATCAGTTAAATGTGTATCTGATAGAAAGCCTTTTCTTAAAACACTAAATACTTTCTAAAAAGTTAACCATAAAAGCATTTTTACTTAACTTACCAGTTGATGAAGCTGGAAGAAGTCTTGCCCTGCACTCTCTACCTGCTTTCATGTTGGTAATCTCTGTCTCTCTCTCCCTTTC